CACCATCATCACCATTATCAACATCATCATCATCGTTATCATCATCATCATCAGCATCATCATCATCATCAGCATCAGTCGGCATCATCTTCATCATCATCATCTAGCATCATCATCCTCTCCCTCCTCCTCCTCCATGTCCTCCTTCTCCTCCTCCTCCCCTCCTCCCCTCCTCCTCCTCCTCCTCCTCCTCCCCCTCCTCCTCCTCCTCCTCCTCCTCCTCCTCCTACTCCTACTCCTACTCGTTTTCCTCACAACTCTTTCCCTCCGCCGCGTTTCCCGCTGTCCTCGCCAGCGCCAGCCTCTGCGCCAGCGCCAGCGCCGCCGCCTCCAGCAGCGTCGCCAGCGCCGCCGCCAGCGCCGCCGCCGCCACCTCCAGCAGCGTCCTATTGGGCATCCCGCCCGCGCCCTTAGACCCCTCCTCCCTCTTCTCCTCCTCCTCCTCTTCCTCCTCCGCCGCCTCCGCCTCCTCCTCCTCCTCTTCCTCCTCCTTCTCCTCCTCCTCCTCCCCCCCCTCCTCCTCCCTCCTCTCCACCTTCCTCCTTCTCCTCCTCCTCTCTTCCTCATCCCTCTCCCCCTCCTCACCCGTTTCTCCCTCCTCCTCTTTAATTTGTCCTTTCCCCTCCTCGTCCCCCTCCTCCACTTCCCCCTCCCCTACCCTCTCTCCCCTCCCTCCATCCTCCTCCCTGCGATCCTCCTCCTCCTCCTCCTCCTCCCCCTCCCCCTCCTCCTCCTCCTCCTCCTCCTCCTCCTCCTCCTTCTCCTCCCCCCCCCCCTCGAGTGGAGGAGGCCGAGGATTTTGACTCTGCAGTGTCCTGGGCGCCGTCGATCACGAAGCCGCGGGCCCACTTCGGCACCCGATCAGGCCTGCGCACGGCGGAGCTCACGTGCCTGAGCATAGCTCTGATCATCTTGGCCGTGTCCTCACTCCACGGGTCGGCTGACGCGGCGAGGTGCCACTCGGACTCCTTGTCCGCTGCGTGGGCTCGAAGAGCTTCTGCGAGCTCCTTCTGGTTGATGCCGCCCGATGGTGACGCAGCCCGAAACTCAATCAACATCAACGCGTACTTGAGAATGGCATCGGAATCTGTTCTCGACTCCAGCCGAGTCGAATAATTCACAAAATCTACATTCTGAATGTGTGCTCTGCAAATGTCTTTCAGGGTCTCGGCATCTGCAGTGCTGGCCCTGCGCACAGCAGCGCTCGCCATCTCGAGCAATGAAAGCTGCAAGGTCGGAAAAACACATTGCGCGCTCAGATCAAACGGGCTAGACTTAAGACCTCAGGACAACCCAATGTGGCCTGAAACTGCCTGTTTCCACGGGGGTCGGGTTTCTCTAATGGAATGGGGAAGTTGCCGACTGGGCCGCGGGATACACGCTCTGGCCCAACAGACTTGGCCACGACCCCCTTCACATGGGGGAGGACACGGAGGAGGAGGAGGAGGAGGAGGAGGAGGAGGAGGAGATGAAGGAGGAGGAGATGAAGGAGGAGGAGAAGCAAGGGGGAGGAGGGCGAGGAGGGAGCAGAGAACGCGGGTGAGTATTACGAGGTGGAGGTAGAGGAGGGGGGGGACGTGGAGGAGGAGTTTTTTTTTGTTTTAAGATAATGATGAAGCAAAGCCAAGCGTTCAAATGAAACGCACTGAATACCGAAAATATATCATACATTTTATACAACAAAAAGCACGCACGCAAAAAATAGCCGCAGCAGCTGTTTTCATAGCCGCGGAGTTCCGCGCCGGTAAAACAGCCGGAACGGACCTCAGGGAGGTCCCTTCTGAGTCAGAGAGAGGGGTCTAGCGAGGACTTCTGGGCCCCCCCCTCTCTTTCTGGCGGAGTGATGGTCTGTCCTACCCGGGGCCCCGGCAAAGAGGGGGGCGGGGGCCTTTGCTGCCGCCGGGGGGGGGGGGGAGGAAGTGTCGCTGACGAATTTGATTTTCTCTGAGATTGCTGAGTTCGGCGTCTCCGATAGGGCCGAGCGGGGATCCACGAGCGCGACCGGAGCCATCGAACTCATTCTTCCCGCGCGGGCGCGTGTGATCCGTCGGGCTTGTCCCGGTCGGATCATTTCGAGCCGGATGGTCCGCCGCTGGTTGCCTGCCGAGGGGGCGTTCACGAAACCCATCGCGAAGTCGCGTTGGCGCGCGCATGGGCACCGAGACCCGGATTCCGGAGCCTTAGAAGTTCATTCCCCAACTCTCCAGACGTCCTCCATCAGGATATTTTCCAGGTTGCTATGATTTTCGGGCTCCAGGTCGATGTCGCGGACGTTGAACATGTTTCTGCCAGAGCGACAAGATGTCTAGGCTGACGGGTGATATATATATATATATATATATATATATATATATGTATATGTATATGTATATGTGTATATATATATATATATGTAGAACCGTGCGAAGGAGTGCATGTGGAGCCGGGATCCCTAATTAAGTCATTTGTTAACGCGAATGGGTTGGATGATGCTCCAGTCGCCTGGCGAAGGACCGTGGCGAATCTTCTCACGGGTCAGGGCTTTGTTCGGACTCTCCCGGAGCCCTGCTGGCGGGCGAAGTGCGATTCGAAGGGGCGCCTTGTAAGTATGATCTTCCTCGAAGTCGACGGCTTCATGATCGGGTGTGTAGATGCGGAGACTAGGCAATGGCCTAGGCGTGTTCTTGAGGGGCGTTTTCGTTCTGGGAAGTTCAGGGGCGCCCATGCCGGCCCAGTGGAGTCCGCGGGGCGGCGGCTCACCCTGGGGAAGGAGAAGACGACCATATATCAAGAAAAGTACATACCTGAAGAAATAAAGCCTCTAGCTTTGGAAAAGGGGAGACTTGGTAAGAAGGACCTTCCGCTGGAGCCTGCTGAGTTCAAAGCGTTCCGTTCCCTCATCTCTGAGTCAAATTGGGTTGGGCGTGAATCCTGGCCAGAAGCTGCCGGCGCGGCCAGCATTCTAGCGAGCAAGCGGAGACGTGCTACAGTTGGGGGCGTTGCCACGGCGAACAAGCTTGCCCAGCACCTCCGAGCCACTGCATCTCGCGGGCTCACAATATGGAGCATCCATCCAGAGAAGATGTATTTTATCTCATGCTCCGATGCCGGCGGCGGCTGTGCTCCCGAGGACATATTCGACGAGCGAGGTCTGCCGGCAGACCCCACGCAAGGCGCGTGGCTGGTGCTTGCCGCCGACAACTCTGGCCTGGACAACTGTTCCGTCAAGGCATCTTTTTTGGGGTGGTGAAGTTTTAAACTGCGCCGCAAAGTCCCTTCCACTCTTGCTGGAGAGACGCAGGCCTTGTTTGCTGCCGTTTCAGAGGTTGAGCTCCTGCAGACTTTATGCCGAGCTGTAGCGTTTCACGATGTGGATGTCCTCGATTGTCACAGGGCCTCGGGACCCTTTTCGACAGTACTTCGAAGGGGCTGTTCGTTGCAGGGGCGCTAGCGTCAGATACATGTTGTGGGCGCTAAGAGTATATGCGATACCATACATAGAGAAGGTTCGGTAAGTGCCAGAGACCGACGCACGGCCATCGATCCTGTCATTATTTCAGAGAGTCTCGAGAGAGCCAGAGGACACGTCGCTGGGTGCCCCATGGCTGCATGCCCGTAGATACCCTGGCAAAAGAGGATGTCACCCGCGGGAACGCTGCACTATTCGATCCTATGACGAGTGGAAAGTTGATTCTAGTTGACGAGCAGAACGAAGTCGAACGACGGCGAGCAGCCCCCGAACTGAAAGGACGGTCTCAGGCAGCCTCCCGACAGCAGCTATCCCAGGATCAACCAGTCTCTTGGATCGACTTCACGTCCCTGGACCAGGCTGGTGGTGGTGGTGGCGAGGTGGTGCCTCCCAACCCTTCCTCATCCTCCTCTCTCCACGCCTGTGCTTCTGATGCCCATACATTTCAGTAGTGCCCTACCTGTTTCTCCGCGTTGTTCCTGTCCTCCCGTCCTCTGCCATCTTCACCTTAGTGACGGATGGCGACCAAAGGGTCTCCGTGTGGGAAGGAATCCATCAGTGATTTCGAACCGTCCTTTACGTGCTAAGCCTGGAAGAAATTCCGACGAGTGTGGAAGTTGAGCACTTATCGTGAACAGATTTAGCAATTTGTGTTTCACCGAGGAGGGTTTGAGCATAGTCTCAAGAACGTCAGGTCAGAGGACGTTGACAGTTACATTTCGGAACCCATTGTGGCTCAAGGCAAAACGTTTGTCATCGCTTCGATGCCACAAGGATGTGGGCCTGGCAACTGGCGTTGGCACCGCTGCTGCCCCCCCCTGGCATCGTTCGGGCGTGTTCGTTTTTTTCTCGGCGAAGGCCATCGAAGAGCATATTGGATCATTCTAAGAAACAGAAGCACACACGAAATCAACAATTGCACGGATAATGGACGTCCGAGCGATGGCGCGTCCCCAGACATGCGTTTCTGTTAAGGCGGGGTCCCCTGATGTCCCGACATTTTCCCCAGGACCAGCCTTTCACCCCAAGTCGTTGGTTTTGATGGTCCCGGGGGGCCCAGTGAGGGTCCCAGGGGCGCCGAACACCGCTACAAACCTCCCGCCCTGGCTTCTGTTCGTGATGTCGACTAGACGTAAGAGTGACCTTTCGCCAGAGTGACCTTTGGTGCGGGCCACAATGGGGCCCCCCGATCGCCGAACGCGAGGCGGCCGTGGCATCTTGCGCCCTTGTGCTTGGCCCCCCCCCCGGCCCCCCAAGAGCCGCGCACCGAAGGTCACTCTTGCCCAGGGTCACTCCTGCGTGTGGCCCATCGTGGCCCGAAGAGCGTCTGGGACTCCAGGTGTCAGGAGGGAAAACAACACACAGACACAATGAATCGTCGATTCCCCAGAAAATTAGCTAAAATATGGGGATTGGGGGGGAAGACGAACCCCCAGAAACTATGGAAAATATGGGGAATATTTTTACGTGTGTGTATTCCTTTGTGTGCCCTGGGGCCCCTTCCACTCCTGCGCGTGGCCCATCGTGGCCCGAAGGGCGTTTGGGACTCCAGGTGGCCGGCCGCCTGGTCCGGGATGGTGAGGCCCAGTTGGGCGACCTGCGCCCCTTTGTGGGCTTCTCGGGCTGGGCCGCCCTGCAGCTGGAGCTGGAGCTGCAGCGCGGCGTGTGGGTGCGGGCGAGGGCGCCCGACCGGCCCCAGCCGTGGCGCCGCCTCCTCGGGGCCCGGAGGCTGCTGGCCTTGCCGAGGGCCCCGGGCCCTGACCCAGGCACCGTCGGTAGGAGGCCGCGCGCGAACCCCATGCCCCGGTGCCCCAGTTCGCACGTGGCCTCCGGATCGAGGATAGAACAGCCTCTAGCACTGATCGCATTGGTGAAGAGGCACGTGCCTCAGGAGGCCTGAAGATGCCCTCCCGGCGGTGGATAGGGGCGTCGAAATAAAAATCAGTTTCCACTCGGGTTCTGAAGACCTAGTTTGGTTAGGGACCGGTCTCGTCTTGCGTTAGGGACAAAAAATCTGCGATTGGGACAATAAATCTGGGCGGTTTTGCGTCCCACTGAGGTCCCGTTTTTGCGTCAGGGTATCTCTGGGCGGTTTGGTTTGATGCACCTGCAGAAAGACCCCCTATCCATAAGGTTTTTGGCCCTCCAAACTTAGGTCGCCTCTCAAAGGCTTAGGGGTTCTCTTATTGCTAATCAAAACATGTTCGCGTTTTTTTGAAAAGATCAGGACGCGAGATTGTTCACCGTTTTCGGCCCCTGGGGGCCTTCACCAAGCCCAGGACCTGCAAAAAACGGCCTGGGTTAAAAGACGGTCCGAGGGAAAGGGTTGGGACTTCCGTGGACCCCGTACTGAAAAATTCAAGGCATCGCATGTCCGGGGTAGGGTGTTGCCAGGAGTGGTCCCAGCCAAAGGTGCTCCCAGCCGTTCGCGGCATTTGGGAGCCTCTGCTGCCCTCTGGGCCTCGTGAGGCATGCTCTGGAGGCCATCTGCACCTCTCTGGGGCAGGGCCACTTCTAGCAACACCCGGCGAGAGGCAGAGCCCGAAGCTGGTCGGTCTGTCCCAGAGATCGTCTCCCCCCGTCTGGAGGATCATCCACTACGGAGTGCTCCGGAACGCTCTCAGAGTTCTTCTCCTGCCCCTTCGGGGGGGGGGGCATGCATTCCTGGCGCCAGCCCAGGGCGCTGCACACCTTCCCGGCGCCCTGCTCCAGCCGTCCGACCAGGGCGGAGCTGGGGACAGCCCCAGGCATGCGACGCTTTGACCTTGTCCACACGCGGTCCCCGGAAGTCCCGGCCTTTGCCCCGGGGCCAGATTTTCATCCCGAGTCGTTTTGTGACGGTCCTCCCTTGGTTTTTATAGCAGTCTACTCCTCCTCCTCCTCCTCCTCCTCCTCCTCCTCCTGGGGCCCGGCGAGGACGATGAGCATCGTTTAACCAGGCCATGGGCTTCCAGGCCGACCGGGGCGGCCCCCTGGGCGGCAGGCGCGGTCTCCCCACGTCGGCGGCGCGCAGGGAGGGCGGCGCGAAGGGGGAGCGGCCTCTGCCGAAGGCGGGGGGCCTCTGAGAGGCCCTCCCGCCTTCCGACAAAACCGCCATCATCATCACCACCATCGCCATCATCGACGTCATCATCACCATCAGCATTACCATCATCATGATCAACATCACCATCATCATCCTCATTACCATCACCGTCATCATGATCATCATCAGCAGCAGCAGCATCACCACCATCACTATCATCACCGTCACTAACACCATAATCAACATCATCACCGTCACCATCACCAGCACAATCACCGTCATCACCACCATGACCTTATCATCAACATCATCACCATCATCATTATCGGCATTATCATCATCATCGTCATCACCATGATCTCCATCAGCAGCAGCAGTAGTATCATGATGACCACCACCGTAAGAATCAGTAGCACCATCACCAGCATCATCTTCATTATCAGCATCGTCATCGTCATCGTTGCCATCATCATCCTCAGCAGCATTATCATCATCCATCAGGTTGGCTCAAGGCTGTTGGCTCAAGGCCACTCTGGTTCAAGCGCCACCGCCAAGCGCCCGATCCGAGCCCGGGCCCGAGCGTTCTTTCGACCGATTCGAGCGATTTCGGGCCCGACCGATTCCGGCCGCCATGGCGACGCATCAGCCTCTTGGAGCGACCCCGGGCACAGCTGCTCGTGCCGCCCCGCCCGCCACAGGTCCTGACACGAGCATGGAGGAGTGCGAGTCTGGGCTGACGCAGGCTACTGCCCGACTTACGGTGGTCGACCCGCCGAACGGGCCGCCTGCCCCTGGGCTGCCTCCCCCGGCTGCGCCTGCTACGGCCCCGGGATTCCAGGCAGCTTTCTCGCCTGTCACGGCCGCCGCAGCTGCCGCCGAGCCCGCTGCAGTTCCAGGAGTCGCTGCAGCGCCTCAGCCGCTCTCGGTGCCCCAGCCGTTGCCACATGAGCTCCTCAGTGATCTATTGGAGCAGGAGATTTTGCGTCACTTCGAGATCGCCCGCGCCGCTCAGGCGACAGGGCAGAGCCCGCCACTTTCGGCCGCATCCACGCTGGCGACCTTCGACGACCTTATGGCGGTATTGCGGGGACTCGCCTACGACCCGACCTCGTCTGACTGCTGGCAGGTCTTAGGGCTCAGCCCGCTGGAAGGGCCTGAGCCGACGCTTGGCATGCTCGAGTCGCGAGCCCGCATGGCCCGGCTGCTTTCGTCAGCTGCTGAGGGCCCGCGCTGGTCACAGAGCGACAAGCAGTTGGTCCCCCCCGTCCTGGAGAAGCTCGAGCTGGCCGTCCAGGACTGCGCCAACTCCCTCGCCGGCTGGCGCAGGGAACGACGGAAGCTGAAACCCAGCAGGCTCCCTCTGTGGAAGGAGCTTGGGCCACAAGCCCTCTGCGCGGTGCTCGACACAGCCCTGTCCCCACAGGAACGTGTCGCGACGCAATGGTCCGGGCTGCTCGGCTCAGGCCCCCCACGTCTACGAGAGCAAGCCGATGATCGTGTTCTCCCCTTGGATGGAGCTCGACGTCTTGCCGAATCGGCCGAGAAGGGGGACGACTCGTTCTGGGACCTGCTGCAGAACGTGCCGGTCGTCATCTGGGCCCCTACCGACTCCTCCGCGCTGGGCCGCCTCCGAGAACACATGCTGAAACGTTCCAGCGGCGGTTCACTCCCGCAGCACATCCGTATGATCACTCCGCTGGAGACTTTTCCTCGGTGCCACTCGGTCGACGCCATCCGGGATCTCTGGTGGCATCCCATTTTGGGAGAAAAGTGGGCAGCCCTCCTCCGGCAGGTGGACTTCGTTTCGCACCCCATGGATCTTGGCAAGAATTCAAGGGCCTCGCGATTTTCGCAATATCCACGTATCTCCCAAAGGGCCCTCCCAAGATGCTGATGGTGGAGGAGCCGCTCTTCTCTCTCGGGGCCAAGCCCACGTACGTGGTGGACATCCCTGCCATGGCACTCCCGCTTGTCTACAGCTTCATGTCAGATCCTGGCATGCGGTGTGCGACGATGGGCCGAATCACCCGCAGCCCAGGCCACACTGCCGAGGTTCCACGCATTACCGTGGATATTCGCTTCGACCGGACAATCCCAGCTCTGGAACAGGAGCTCCGCATGCGTCGCCTCCGCAGCGCGGCGCTTCCCCCCGACTCGTTCTACGGCTCACATGCGATGTTCTCGGACCCGGCGGCCCTCCTCGCCGAGCTCGCGCGCCCCAGCGCTGCTTGCAAGGCGTGGCCGTTGGGCAGCGGTCTCATCCTCCTCACCTCTGGGAAGGCACTGGTCCAATCAGAGACAGAAGCGGACGTCTGGCACTCCTTGATGGACGGAACGTTGCAGGAGGACCCTGAGGCGGCCGTGCTGAAGCTCCAATACAAGCCGTCGCGTCACGGAGGACGGCAATTCGCCGTTCCATCCGCCACCCCTCAGCAACTTGCTGCCCTGCGCCGTCGACGCGGCCCGCGGCCCCGTCGAGCAGCCGCCCTCGAGGCCGTGACAGATGTCGATATCCGGGGCTACGCCAGCATCGACGAGGCCGAGGTCTTCCAGCAGCTGATGGCCCACCTCTCCAGCGCGGCGGGCATTTAGCTCACCGAGGCCACCGCTGAGACCATGAAGACCGTATCGTGGCAGTGGCTGGCCAAGACGGATCCCGGGGCTCCCCCGGGACGGGTCCGCTTATGCCTGAAGGACGCGGCCGACGTCCAAAAGGTCCGGGAGGCGTTGCACGGCAAGGCGATTCGGGTTGGCACGGGCCTCGTGGGGATACAGGTCTCCAATGATTTGGCTGATGCGCAGAGTCTGCTCGCGAGCTCGGGAAACGTTGCGGGGGGGGTGGCGCGCTAGCCATCCCCCCTTCCTGGCGATGCGACTCTTGGCTCCCCGCCAGGGGCCTCCTGGGCGGTGTCGCGCTCGGGTAGCATGTCCCTCCTCGTCGATGTCGTCTTGCAGCTCCTGCCCATTCCTATCGGCACGACCTTCACGGCCAACGTCGCTGCGGAGGCTAATTCACAACTTGCCGCTGCCGCCGCCGCCCGCGATGTCCTACGCGATCTTGCACCTCGTCTTCCGCCACTTCTTCTCCAACCTACTGCTCAGGAGCACGTACTTTCTCAGCAGGCCCGGACTGATGTTCCAATATCAGTATTGCGGTCTGCTCGACTCCGTCGCGCCCCCCCAGGTCACGCACAACGCCGGCCTCTACTGCGAACCTGCCGTCGGAGGGCCCCGTGAGGACCGTAACCCCTACCTCGCCCACCTCGACCACCTCGTTGCGGGCCCCGTATACGGGGGACATCTCGCTTGCCACCTGGAACGCGCAAGCCCTCTTTGCGGCGGACGTCGCAACTCACGGTCGCAAGTGGGCCTACCTCTGCCGACTCACCTCCCAGCACGACGTGATCACGATTACAGAGACGCATGACGCGGAGGAGTCGCTCCCATTAGCTCTACCTCCGTCTGGCTGTCGCGGTTGGTGGTCCCACGGCACGTCGCAGTCTGCGGGGGTCGGCATCGTGGTCCGGCAGGAGTTTCTCGATAAGTTCTTTCATTTTGATTGGTTTGTCATATCTCGTGGCAGTGCCGCTCGGCTTCGCTTGAGGGACCCTCACGGCGCGCTGGAACTCGTCGTGGGATATTGCCACACAGGTCACGCACCGCAGTTGCGCCCGGCAGAGGCTCTGGGCGCGGGCGCCGCGCACTGCGCTTCGGTCCGCCGGCAGCGGGCTGACTTACGAAGCTCGATTGCTCAGAGCGTTGGGGACTCCAGGGAGGTTCTACGCGTCATCAGCGGCGACTTCGGAGGAGTGGAAGCGAGTGTGGGTCCCGTCAGACCCCAACTACGATGAGCAGAGGTGCGCGGCCAGGTGGGAGCAGTACGCCTCGGAGGCGCGCGAGCCCTTGCCGAAGACCGCCGACGCCTACGACGAGGAGTGGTACCCCTCTGACGCCGACTTCCGGGTCGCCGCGCGCAAAACCAAAGGCAGCGCGGGCTATGACGTTTGGCGCTCTAGCGACTTCAAGCTGATCTCCGAGCACTTCGAGTTCTGGCTTTTCGAACTCTACACGCTATGGCGGGACACCTGCGAGACCCTCCTGGTCGAGAGGCCCACCACCGAGTTCCAGCACCTCCTCTTCGCCTGGCGGGTTGTTGGGGTGCCAAAGAAAGACCCGACGCAGTCCCGGCCTATAGGGGTGGGCTCCGTGCTCCCCAGGGCCTGGCTCACAGCTTGCGAGCCCAGCCTGCCCACGCCACAGGGCGCTCAGTTCGCCTGCAAAGCGGGCTCCACGGTGGTCCACGCCTGCTGCTTGCGGCTGCACGCCTGCCAGCACGGCTCGTGCGGACTGGAGCGCGACCTGTCCAAGTGCTACGACAACGCGCCGCATGCGGTGGCAGACGCGGCGCTCCGCAACGCCCAGACTCCACGCCGAGTGCGGGCGGTGACTAACGCTGCCTTGCGGGGCCCTCGGAGGTGCCAGGTGGCGGGAGAGTTGGCCGGTGAGACACTCTGGCCTACGCGCAGCCTCGCTCAAGGGGACAGCACGGCGCCGAAGGTCCTGTGCCACGTACTTTCCCCTTGGGAGATCAACGGCACCAAGTTCTTTTTCATGGACGACAGGTCTGCCGTCTTCGACTCCGCCCCGCAGATGGAGTTGGGCGCGCAGGCCACCAACGCCTTCGACTCAGGCACGGGCGCGATCGAGAACGTCGGGAAGCGCCAGGTCTGGAAGCGAGGGGACAGGACGCAGATCGAGCACATCGGCATCCTCGCTGTCCCTGATGCTCCGGATGAGCCGATTACGCCTGCCGGGAGCTGGACCAAGCTCCGCAAGTGCTTGCACGCCATCCGAGGCCTCCCGGGAGGCAGCGAAGCCAGGGCCGCGGCGGTCTGGGCCTACGCTAAACCGTTGTGGACTTGGTGTTCCCCGGTTTTCTCTCTGCCGCCGCCCGACGTCATCCCAGCAGCGATGTCAGCGGTGCTTTCGACGAGGTGCACTTGGTGGTGCCGAGGCCGTTTCTGGGCCTCGAATATCGACCTGCACCCCATCTTCAGCGCGGTGCTCGCGGCCATTGATCGCATCACCACCTGGGACCTCCGCTGGAGTACATTGCTCGATGTGAATGTTACGACGTTTTTCGATGCCATGGGCTTCGAGTTCCTGCAGTACGACCCAGAGCGCGGAGTGCAGTTCCGACGCCCGGTGGACGAGCCTGATGTCCGAGTCCGCCGCTTGTGCGGGCGCAGACACATCTTCTGGAGCGACGAAGAGATGGTGCGCACCTCCTTCGCCAAGTATGCCCGGCGAGAGCTCTTGCCCACGCATCCGCGTCTCGCCACGACTCGGAGGGGGTCGACCAGATCGACCTTGAAGCCTCCTCGGCACGAGCGTGTTCCACTTTCCGGGACTCGCTGACCCTGGAGGACAGGATCCACTTGAAGATCTTTCGCTGCGGAGCGACACACAGCCCGACGAGAAGATGGAGCACCACCAGGCCCGATCTCACGGCGGCCTGCCCGTCTTGCGGGGGTCCCCGTCGACCGAGTGCGCGCCACTACGTGGCCGAGTGCGCCGCCCTGGCGGGTCTCCGGCAGGAGCTGAACGACGCGTGCCACATCCCACTTGGCTGGTGGGCACGCCAGCCGCGGGCGACGCTGAAGACGGGATGGATCACTTTCCCGGCTCACGCGTCCGCCGCCCGCAGAGCGGAGCTCCAGGTGGCCGTCTGCCGCATGGGGCTCGTTGCCATGGCGCAGATGGCAGAAGATTGCGTGGCGTTGAAGAGAGCCTAGGGCATCCGAGCGACTTCGTCCCGATGTTCGACTTTTACGGTTTGTTTTTCGACCTCTTCCTCTCCGTGTTCACGTTCCCCCAGGTTCCCACTTTCGTTCAGTTGTTCCTGATGTACAACTCGCCCGCGGCGACTTCAACTGGGTGGTTGACGCCCGCGACCGCGTCTCCAAGGGCACTGGCCATGCTGCCGGCGCTCGCGATTGTGCGGATGAGGCCCACTGGGGGCGCCCCCCCCCCCGAAATTCCAGGAGATGTTCCAGGGGGCCATGGCCCATGATGCGGCCCTCGCCCGCTCCCGCCTGGACCGCATCTACGCCAACATGGATGGGGGCGAACTGCTGGACAGGCAGATCACGGCTGGGGTCCGGGAGTGGGCGCCTCATCTTTCACACCACCGTGCAATGTTTTTCCAGCGCCGCATGGCCGCAGAGTCGCGGTCGGGCATGCGCCCGATTCCAGCAGACGTCGTCCGTCGCCCTGAGTGGCCTCGTCGAGTCAGCTTGCGATGCCGCGACCTGCTCGACGCGGCCCCTCCTCTCTCGGCAGCGGCTCGCCCCCCGCTGCTGAAGCAGGCGATCCAGGAAGTCAGCTTTGAGATGGCCTCCGGCGGGCGCGCGGTCTCCGCGGACACGGTCGAGGACGGGCTCGGTTGCACCATGTGTTTCATTCGCGCTGTGGAGAGCTCCTCCGTCTCCGCGATCGGCAGGCGCATAACGACGTGCCCCCACCTCGCCGACCTCGTCTCCAACCCGCACTGCCCTTCCGTCCGGGACGGCGGCGCCCTCGCAGCTGCGCGAGAGCACGCCGTCGCTCTGGCGAGGGGCCAGGCCGTCCGAGAGCTCACCGCGCTCCGGGGCGATCCCCCGAACCTCTCGGACGCGGGAGCGACGGTTCGCCGGGCTCGGGATTCCAGACTTCTGAGTCGCCTCGCCCCTGGGCGAGGGAAGTTTCTGACGGCCACTCGGAGCCTGAGGGGAGACGTTCACGCACCTCCAGACGCCATGGCAGCCGATCTCCGCGAGCATTGGGCCAAGGTATTCGAGGCGCGCCCGACGGGCTCTGCACTTCGAGCGAGGTGGCTTGCTGAAGACTTGCCTGCAATATCGAGGTCGCTCCCTCCTTCCTCGTCCTCGAGGTGGATCCCATCGCGTCGGGACGTTCGAGATGCGATTGCCCATTCAGGTTCGTCTACTCCAGGCCCGGACGGGATCCCCAGAGCTGTGTGGAGGGCGCTCGGTCCTCTCGCCGAGCAGGTTCTGCATGGGGCACTCCAGGAGATGTCGCGGCCTGGTGGCCTGACCGTCTTGGAGCGGGACTACGGCTCGTTCAACGAGTCGCTGGTCTTCTTCATCCCCAAGAAGGTGTCTGGCTTCGACGACCGATGGGGGGAGTTTTACGACCCCGAGCACACCCGGCCGATCACGGTCACTAATTTCGACAACCGCATCCTAGCCAGCGCAGTGCGTCGGCGGATCGAGCCAATATTGGCGAAATTGGTTTCTCCACACCAGCGCGGCTTCATCGGCGGACGGTCGATGCTGGCGAACGTGATCGACATCGACCTGGAGATGCAGCGCGCCACGCTCGAGCAGGACGATGGTTTTGCCGTCGCGTTTGATTTCGAGGCGGCTTTCCCGAGCGTGGGCCATAGTTTCATGTTGGACTTGTTTGAGCACCTGGGGCTTCCTGACTGCATCTTGGGATATGTGCGGGCACTCTATTTCCAGAACCACTGCCAAGTGGTCGCTGTAGGGGCACGCCACGACGGATTCGCCATCGCGGCCGGCATCCGACAGGGGTGTCCGCTCTCGCCGTTGCTCTTCGCGGTGGCGGCGGACCTCCTCCTGCGACGTTTACGCCGCCTGTTGCCCACGGCCGCCTTGCGAGCGTATGCGGACGACCTGGCCTTCGTCTCCCGTTCCGGCGTCGGGGGCGCGAGTGTCTCGGAGCGGACCTTCGAGGAGTATGCCCTTGTCTATCTGGGGAAGACCACGATCATCCCGCTCCACCTGGAGCCCCTCGACACCTCCCGGGGCCGGTTGGCGAGGGCAGCGCCGTCCTGGGGGGGGGTCCGCGTCGCGACCTCGGCGGAGTACCTCGGTTTTGTTCTGGGGCCTGGCCGCGGCGCGACCTCTTGGGACAAGCCGCTGGAGAAATATCGACAGCGCGCCGCTGCTTGGGGAAAGGTTGGTTGTGGACTACAGCTAACTTTGCTGGCGTACCGCACGTGCATCTTCTCCGCCGTGCTCTTCGTCGCCCAGCTGGATGCCCCTCCGGCCGAATGGGCCCGCTTCGAGCAGACCGCGGCCTCCAAGCTGTTCCCAGGTCCGCGGCGTTGGGCCACGGTCAACGCCCTGCGGGCCCTACCGCATCTCGGCTTCCAGGGCGGGCTGGTTGACCTCGACGCGTGCGCGCTCGCAGCCAAGCACCGGGTCGCCACCTTCGAGAACAGGCTCCATGGCGATCTCGCGATCCGCACCCGCGCAAGGGAGCTTAGTGCAGTTGCAGCTCGATCGAACCAGTTGGAGCGACAGCACGTCATGGCGTCGTGGTTTGCATCCGCATTCGCTCTTCAATTGGATTCTGCCGTCGATCACTTTACGGAGGCCGGCTTCGGGACCCAGCGGATCCAAGCACGAATCCTAGGGCATCTTGGCCCTCGCGTCCCAGAGGACCTCCTCACTCTGCGGCGCCAGTGGCAGAAGACATGTCGGGCTATAATTGAGCCGTCGACCCGCGCCGCCCTCGAGCTCTTCATGCGGCGGCGGCTGGCGCGGTGCGATATGGGATTGTTCGAACGGGTCCGCGCTGATCGCGCACTCCTGGCGTTGCCGTATTTGAGTTCTTACCTCCCGGCGCGGGCGCGGGCCGCAGTCTTGCGCGCATGGTGGAATGGATGGGTCACGAGCCGCCGTTCTCAAGAGCAGGGTCGATGTATCTTCGGGCGCGCGTGCAAGGACAGCATCGAGCACTACGCCCGGTGCCCGGTCGCCCGCGAGTTCGGCTCCCGCTTCCTGCACCTCGATGCCCCGATCGGCCCTGGAGCAATCGAGGATTTTCTGATCTTGGTGCCACGCTACTCCACGGGAGTTCGCGATCTACTGGTGAGGAAGAGCATCCGCGTCGCGGCCGTGTACATTTTACATTGTCGGCGCAGGCACTCTCCGGGAGGTGCTGGCCCGCTAGCTTGGCAGGCTCTCGCCCACACGGCCGAAGAGATAGTGCGCGGCCATGGCGTTGCGACGGCTTGCGTCGCTCGCGCCTGGGCCCCTATGCAGTAGTTTCTCTCTCCTCCCTTTCTTGTTCTTCCCGCTGCCGCCGCTGCTCTGCTTCAGCTGTCTACGTACTCGGGTTTCAACTTCGATCCGCACAAGGTGGGCCAGTTTGCGCTGTGCCCCGCTTGGTGCCGCGGGGATTTGCCTGTGAGGAATATCGCTGGCCGCTTGGGCCTTGGGGGATATGTTCACACAGCGTGCTGTATCCGCTGTCGCTCCTCCTCCCTCGTTCTCCTCCTCCTCCTCCTTCTCCTCCTCCTCCTCCTCCTCCTCCTCCCCCCCTCCTTTTTGCATAATATTGCGTTGGATTTCTTAGCGTGGCCGTTTGGGTACCTGGTAGGGGCTATAACACAATGTTGGACCACGCCCGGGAGTTCACGCAATGTGTACCCCTCGGCGTCTAATCCTTTCATTTCCCTCCTCCTCCTCCTCCTTCCTCCTCCGCCTCCTCCCTTCTTGTCCTCGTCTTCCTTGCCCACTAGCGGGCCGTAATTCGTTACATTTTCGTTGCGTGCCCCCGTCTGTTCCCCTCGTCGTCCTCCTCGTTTCCTGTTCCTTGTTTCCTAGGGTAGCGCCACTTGTTTCCTCCCTCGTCGTCCTCCTCTCCTCCCTCCTCTGCGCCCCTCGCCTCCTCCTCCCTTTTCAATGTTTTTGCAGGTGGGCCCGAGGCTGTGCTTAGGATCCTTTGTCCGTCCCCTAGCGGGGTGGGGACTGCACTCCCCTTTTTTCCTCTCCCTTTTCCGCTCTTTCCTCCTCGTCCTCCTCGTCCTCCTTGCTTCCCTTGCCCCTCTTCTCTTCTCGCCGGTGTTTATTTACTTTCGGGATGTTGCTGTAATTTAAGCCACTGGTCTCTGCTGCGGGTCGACACGGAGTGCACGGGTTACTCGATTGGTGTTGCGGTCGTCCCTTCCCTCTTGCCCCTCCTTCTTCTCCCCCAAGATTGCGCTGAACAAAAGATCTATCAGCAGCAGCATCATCACCATCGCCATCACCACCACTATGATCATCATCGTCATCGTCCTCGTCCCCGTCCTCGTGTAACTCCTCCTCCTACTCCTCCTCCGTAGCCATTGCGGCTCAAGACGGCATTTTTTGACAGCGGTTCAAGCGAGCCTCGGCATGGTTTGATTTGATTTGCTTGGTTCTCGCATTTGGAGTGCGGTCGCTGTGTCCATGGACGAGGCGTGTGGCCACGTCTCTTCACTGGCTGGCCGCGCGCTGCGTTTATTTTCTTTTGCGACTGGTCGACAGTATTCAGGATTCAACAGAGCTGCATACGAAAATAGGCACAGATTGCCGACTGCGTTGCGGCGTCGGCTTCAGCATATCTCAATATCGCATCAGTTCCTGCGTCACCACACAGACGTATGGGAAGAGGAGTTCATGCAGGAGTTGAGGGTACATATGAGAGTATCGTATACCGGCTTTGCGGGTTCCGCCACGGTCTGTGCGCCGCGATTCTCTGGGCAGCGAGCTCGGGCAGGCGGCCTGGACCAACGGGCTCCGGCATTTCAGCCGCAGGCCCCTCAGCCATTTTCGTATGCATCAGTTTCGGAGTTCTTGCTTTCCACTCTGGTGTCTTACGACTCGCAGTTGGCATCTTATCAGAATTTAGTCAACGACCAGAACAATTCTATCGCGTCGCTCCGAGCCGTCTTGGATAGGGTTGCGGCTTCAGCATCGGGACCTCACCCTTTTTTTTCCTCACCCGTGGCCTCTTCTGCATCGGCTTCGTCATGTGAGGGGTCAACAGAACGTGCCTCCGCGATCGGTCACCGTGCCCCAGCGGATATTTTCCAGATCACAGGAGACGTTCCAGCGGGCGCCGACCCTCACGGGGAGGGTGTGGGATCAGTTTCATCCTCCTCCTCATCTTCTGCTTCAGATTGGACTGTGGCAGAGTTTGCTTATTCTTCAGATTCTGCCAAAGCTGACTTGCCCGCTGGGGCGGAGAGAGTTCTTGGGAATGCAGCCGAAGCGTACATGGACCAACGATTTTTGGAAGTGAGCCAGAAAGCTCGCACATACATCGACGACCAGTTGAAACAATTTCTGGGATCAGGATCGGAGATATGCAGCAGGTTGTTGCAGAAACAATGGGGGAGTCTGTCTCGCATGTTGCTGCGCACGCGCTGGAGACCCAGCTTCCGACGTTGATCTGCAGCGAGGTAGGCCCGTCATTTGAACGGGTTGCAACCGGTGTTGGCGACAAAATGGCGGCGCTTGGAGCTAGGTACAGGGTCCTTTGAAGACATATGGGAGGGAGGATCCGAGAGCTCTACTGGGAGGGATGCGAACCGCGGCCGCTCGCCACATCCTGGGCCTCCTGTGCCGAGAGGAAAGACGGGCGCATCGGCTTCCCCATCGCGACCACTTCTTTCTGGTCTTTTTTGCCGCTATGGCCGCCGCTGCCATCGGGCTGAGTGCGTCTTCGTTCACCCTGAGGGCCGCCTTATCGATGACAACCATATTGGGAACGTTCGACGGGAAGCAAATCGCGACCTTGGGATTCGCAGCGGTCCTCGCCGCAGCAGGGACACGCCCGAGGAAAGGGCACCTGCTGCTTCCTCGCCCGGGCCGGCGGCACAGCCGACTTCGCCAGGCCTCCTGGTGAGGATCGCTCCGTTTGCGAGCCCGATCAGTTGCGGCAGGTTCGAGGACATCGTCGAAGCTGAGGAAGCACAAGAGGCACACGACTACATTATGAGTCACTTTCTCCGCGGACACCCCTTCGAGGATGTACCTCCCGAGCCCGGTATCGATTGAGATGTGCGCAGGAGCTCCTGAGGCTGGCGTGGCGAGCTTTTCCCCATCGGCGTCCACTTCCTGGTCCTCCTGTCCACTTTCCCTGTCCTCGCCGCGCCTTTCATGCTCTGCGCGCGCATGTGTTTGGGGAGTACTATTGTGATCGTATTCAGGGGGCTTCGGCCTTCGTCTTCCGCCCGCTTGCGGGCAGCGGATTTATCGAAATAGGTTGTGGAATCGGTGCTCGCTTTTCGGCCACGCTCCACCTCCTCCTCCTCCTCCCCATCATCATCCCGTAGCCACGTTGGCTCAAGATGGCGCGCCATCGCGAGCGCAGCGTGGATTCCGCTAGTCCGCGGCCAGTTCCAATTGTTTTGCAGCCGCCACCAGGGGCGAGCTGCCGTCCACTCCTGCGTATGATCCCGGCGTTGCAGGCCGCCTTTCACATTGCTGTGCGTCCCGCTCAGAGCATCCAGTCTGTCTCGAGCACTGTGCCGAGCACCCGTATTCCCGCATCGTCTGCAGCGCCGTGCTCCCATGTCGAGCCATCGCGTGCTGCTCCGACCCAGTCAACGAGAGTCAGTCAAGTACGCGGTGGTCCTGCAGTGCACTTGGCCAGTGGCGAATCGTTGAACAGCAACTCGGTGCCCGTTGTCAGTGCAACAACATGTCCGCCGCCTTCTCAGACAGAGACGACCAATCCAACGTCTCCACGCCCCGCAGTCGCCGAGAAGACCACCACCAACGCCGCGAATATTCTCGCCGCGATGAACGCGGCCATGGCGATCACCAGCAGCGACGGGAAGAACCCCGCAGAGATGGCAGACGCGTTGCCCGCGAACTGCTGGAACACCGCGGCAGCGCAGGATTGAGTTGCCAAGGCCCCGCAGGTGCTCGCCAGCATCAAAGCCGCGCAGCAGATCGAGGACCCGTTCGCCGCCCACCGACCCCAGCGCGCAGGTCAGCCAGATCGGGGGGAAGCGCTGCGCCCGAAGCCCCGACCGTGGCCGTGGAAGAGCGTGCGAAGCCACCGCGTGGTCCTGCTTTCTTTATGACGCCCTTCAGGGCGATGCTGACCCATGTGCCAACGCCGCGTTTATCGAGCGGCAGCTGGGGCCCGCAGCCGCCGAACAACTCGTCCGTGATATCGAACTGGCCCCCACCTTTGCTTCCCAACCCGCTGCTGCGCCAGCCGCTCCAGTCACTGGCCACGCTACTCCTGGATCACAACGCGAGCCGCATCATCCACATCAAGAACGACATGAACCGCTACCTGGGATACCCGAAGGCTTCGACGTTGCTCTCGGGGAACTCATGCATCGACAAGTCGCTACTGCTGCCTCGCGCTTTCAAGCACAAGCTGACCAGCTTTTCACTGAATCTCGTGAAAGTGCCCGCCTTCTCGCTCAACGACATGTTACCGCTGCTGAACGCCGAGTGGGCGCGCCCCATAGCGAAGTCGCCCGCGCTCGCAGAGAACAAGACCGCCAGGCTTCTGAGCAGCAGCGCATATGGGAACATATCGACCTGGTGCGCGACGCCTTCGCCATCGCAGAAGCTCAGATGCCGATCGCAGAACTCAATCGTCTTGCCGAATGGGAAAGTCGGCCTGATCCGACGCTCTTCGTCGCGGGTTGTCAGCGCCCCCTGGCTCCGAATGCGGTGATCAGCGACCTCCAGGAATGGATTGCAGGAGCCAACCTCCAGTCTAATCACGTGGAGCTACTCGGAGATGGCGAACCTGCCCGCCGCTTCGCCCTACAAGTCAAAGGAGACAGCGCTGTCGCAGCACCCCGTGCACGGGCTGCCTCGCGCGCAATGCGCAATGCATCTGGCCGATGAAAGGGCCCCACCTCGACCCGTCCAATAGGTCAGTCATTTGATTGACATCTACATCAGCCCCGACAAGTCCCCAAAGCAGACCAGAACAGAAGTCCATGCCAAGAAGCTCCCTCAGCTATTGCAGCGGCGCTACCCTCGTCAGCGGTGGAGAGCTTTCCGCGCCAAAGGATAGATCCATTGCGACTCCATGCGAATTGCCAAAACGGTGCTCCGTGGCCAGGCAGACCCCTTCCATCCTCCAGTGGAACGAGAGGGCCTTCAACAGTCCGCAGTGCCGGTCCACTGACCGGGGCGACATTCTCACTTCCCCCCATGCGATCTTTG